AACACAGAGATGCTCCAGCCCCTTCATCTTCGTGGCCTCCGCTGGACCCGCTACAGGAGCTCCACATCTCTCTTGTCTTTAGGAGCCCAGAGCTGCACACAGCACCGCAGAGGCGCTTCGCCGGGTCCGAAGAGAGGCGCAGGAGCAGCTCCCTGCCCGGGCACTGCCCTTCCCAAAGCCAAGGCTGCCCTCGCAGGCTCCTCCCGCGGCGGGGAGGGGCCGAGGCCGCCGGGCCCCGCCGCGCAGCTCGGGCGGCGATCCGCAGCCGCGCCCGGCCCGGCCGCTCGGCTCGGCTCGGCAGGCTGGCAGCGAGAGGGAAGCAGGAGGAAGCGGAGGGAAGCAGGAGGCGGCAGCGGCAGCAGCAGCCCGGGTAGGCTGTGCGGGCGGCCCGGCGCACCTGCCGAGCCCGCGGCGGGGGCGGAGCGGGGGCGGCTCCTCGGCCGCGGGGCCGCTCGGGAGCGCCGGGCCGGGAGCGGCGGCTGAGGGGCCGGGCGAGCCGTCACCCCGCCGGCCACCGCCGCTCCGCCTGCTTTTGTCTCCTTCCCTCCCGTTTGTTTCTCCCCGGAGCCCCCATCCTGCTGGACGGGGAGGGTCGTTTGGGAGGCGCTGCTCGGTTCCGGGGGTGGCACCGCGGGGATGCCGGTGGGACCCGGGGCAGAGCCCAGCCCAGCCCTGCCGGTGGGTCCCGGGGCAGAGCCCAGCCCTGCCCAGCCCAGCCCAGCCCTGCCGGCGGGTCCCGGGGAAGGCGGTGCCTGCCCCTTCCCCGGCTGGGCTCCGCTGCCCTTGACCTTTGGGATGGCCGGAGCCGCCTGCTCGGTCCTGCGGCTCGCTCCTCTGTGGCTGAACCCTTTCCCCACTTAAATAGAAGGAACGCGGCTATTTAAAGCGCCGGAGTGATGGATTTGGCGGCTTCAGGCTCAGGTGCAGAGCTGCCGGGTATTAAGCACAATTTACATTTGTTGCGCCTGTGTGCGAAGGCGTTGTGAGCCCTCTGGGACAGCCCGGGGAGGGTTTGGTTTGGTTTGGTTTGGTTTGGTTTGGTTTGGTTTCTGCAGACACAAAAATTCATCTCAGCCCCGGGGGAGCTGCGCTGTGCCGGGCAGGACCTTCCCTCTGCCTGTCCAGCGCCTCTGATCCCGCCTTTGCCGTGTTTGCAGGGGAAAAAGCCGCTCCCCAGCCACCGCTTCCCTGGAATAGGGAGGAAGGTATGCTTCAGCCACTGCAGACAAGGAGCAATACCAAGTTTGGAAGGTAAATATGGTTTCAAAGTAAATACGAGAACATGGCTTTGTACAATGTGGTACGGCAAGGAGGAAGTAGAGGGGTTGGTTTCGCTGTCGGCAGAAATAGTTGCTGAAAACGAAAGAGTGTAAAACAAGTTTGAGTGACTGGATGGGACGTTGTCCTTGGGCTTCAGCAGTAAAACTGAAATATAAAAAATTGTATTGATAAACTACTGGTTATGTGCTGTAGCCTTTTAGTGTGATTTCTGAAGTATAGCTTGGTTAAAATCTGCTTCTATCTACAGTAAAAGGTGAAATTTCCAACCTTCTATCACCTAAAACGGAGACTAGACAGCATTAAAAGAATAAAGTAGAGATTTATTAAAAAGGCTTTCAAAGGAAACACCTTGGGCAGTTCAAGAGTCTTGCCAAGGCTACATCCAAGACGGAGGACAGGTCACTACTTTTCACACTTTTATGAGTTTTGGTCCATTTCCATATTGTGGTTAATTGTCTAATTACAGCTTCAGGTTATGAACTCGCATCTCCCAGATTGCTCTCCTCAATTTGCCATTGTTTGTACTTTTTGGGCCTGAAGCTGCAATGGTTCTTGGGCTGGAAAAGGATTTTATTTTTTTTTTCCAAAACACTTGCTAACACTTTATATGAAGTTCAGAGTTCTATACTAATGCAGTACAGAATCTGGAAAATATGAAAGCTAAAACTTAAGGCATCATCTGGAGGATATTTTTTGTGTTTATTAAAATGCACGTGAGTGTCAGAGGAACTTAGAAATATGTGGAGACAGAAACAAGTTATTGAGATGTAAATGAGAACTCGGGTGTTTCTGCCTGCAGTACATAAAATGAAATCAACCCCTGTCAAATAGAGTTAGGCTGCAGTTCTCTCTGTGCTGCTGATAGTCCAGTCATCTTTGCTGGAAGTGGCTGGGATCCTTGTGATGGGATTTATCCTGAGGCTACACTGCTGGGAGGTGGTGTATGATCTGTGCACAGATGTGCAGCCTGGCGTGGCCATTGAGCACTGAAACCTTTTGTAAGATGTGTGAAGTCTTTTCCTGTTTGCACTAGAGCTGTTAAATAGTAACCTGCTAAACAATTGCTTTGCTATAATGATAATTGCCCTGCCCTAGTCTTTTTAAGAGAACTGTTTAAGGAGGTATTTGACCTCAGGTGTTTGTTCTTTACTGGCTTCTCAGGTTTTTTTTTTCCCACTTGGTATTTCTGTCACCTCGTTTGGTGTGGTTGGTGAAATCATTTTGATGTTTGGAGTGGACTGTAAGAGAGGATAAATGGGGTTTGGGATCACCCTGAAATGAATCTGTTACTGCTGGAGGCAAAATTAATTCCTGCTGTGAGCTACTTCTGCCAACCTCTTTTTCTCCTTACCTTTTTTCTCCCACTTGGAGCTATATGTGTCTCATTTCAACCAAACACAGATTACTGATGAGAAATAATTGTTTTGAAATTGGAATTTTGAAATCTGACCTAACTAGCCACCTGTGACTGTAGGGGGCAATGCCAGTTTTTAATCCTTGTCTTTATGCCCCTGCTGCCTTGGATTTATTCTGTGTGGCCATTTTGTGGCCATAGAATGAGTTAATATTCTTTATTGGATCATCTGTACTTCAGGGCAGGATTTCTGATGGATCAGGCACCTGAACCATGGCTGTAGGACTACAAGGTCTGACACAAGGGAGCCAGGGATCTTTATCTGGAGTTGGGAGGAGGGAGTAGGGTTGCACTTTCTCTCACCTCAGCAACCTCAGAGAGGAGATAGAAAACTTGTGTTGGGCGGGAATAATTATGGGGTTTGATTAATTGCACAATCTGATTCAGGGCCAGGGAGGGGGTGGAACATGCCAAACGAGATTAGCAAGTCAATTCACTTTTAGGGTAGAAAGGTGGCAAGCTGAACCAGGATATTGTAGAAAAAATAGAGGTATGACAAAAATGTGTTAGCATCAAGGAGCAGAGCCTTGATCTTTTGGTGGGATACTCAGTTATATAAAGAGGGGGTAGTGTTCCTCTATTCCTGGGGATAAAGCCTGTGTAGGTGGTGAAGCTTTCATGTTGCCAGCTTGGATCTGGCAGATCCTGTTTGTTGTCACTTTACCTGGCTGAAGACATGCAGCTTTGATTTCTGTAGTAAGATGGGGCAGTGAAGATGAGAGGAGAGTCTCACACCTTCACCTGCCCTGTGGCAGCCCCTAAAATTCCCAGGTGAACACCAAACGTGGGTTTGGCAGTTCTGCTTTCTTGCTTTGGCTCACCTCCTGTTATTTACCAGGAGAGCTCATCCTGAATCCTACCAGCTTCCCATCAGGAGCATGGCAGTGGCTTGTGCTGGCACTGAAGAGGGCTGCCAGGAGGGTTGTGTGTCCTGGAGTGTCCCTGGATCCTGCTGGGATTGTGTGCCTGACTTTCAGTCACACCTTTTGCCTACGGCTCCTTTTGCCACCTGACTTGGCAGCTGCCAGTGCAGCCAGCTCCTGTTCCAGCATCTGGAATAAACTGGGAGGGTTTTGTTGTAAAGGGGCTTCAGCCCACGTTGGAACAAACAGGAAGAACTTTGTGAGAATTTAAACCAAACCACTGCAATCTCGCTCTTCTCTGTATTCTGAGGACACACACGGTCCTGCCTTCTCCCTTGTGCTGGTGTAGGGAGCTCAAGTGGGGAAAAAACTTGGTTTTTCCTTTTCCAAGGCTTTCTGACGATGTGGAGCTTTGTGCAGTGCTGATACTGCGCCAGGGGAATGGAAGAGGGAGAGCTGGTCAAGCCTTGCTGGCAGCATTGTTTAGGAGCACCCACTCTCAAGCTGGAGGAGTCTCTCATTCCAGGCTGGAAACACTACAGCCGTTTCTCAGCAAATGGCAAGCTCATGAATGTTTCTGATGTGCTCAAACAGATCTTTGTGAGCTGGGGAGTTGCCTGTTTGTAGTCATTCTGGGACAAAAGCTGAGTGTTCTGATATAAGCTGCCTTTGGATCAAGTTCTGAGTGCATCTTTCCTTTGTGTCTTCACTGCTTTTTACCATGCCCAGCTCTAAAAGTAAATTATAAAACAGTCAGAGAAGGCTGCAATTTATATAGGCTTAAAATTCTCCACTGCATTTTTGATGTGAAATTTAGTGAATTTACTTACCTCTAAAGTGGATAATTGCTGATTCAAATGTCATGATTAGAAAATAATCCAAATAACTCAACCAGACTATTTACTTACCAGCTTCTCTTATTTGAAGATCAGCAGTAAACAGACTGAAGGATTTGCCACGTCGTGACTGAAGGTAGAAGGAAAAAAAAAAAACCTGCAAGGAGATCAGCCCAGCAGCAGATATTCCACACTTGTGGAATCCAAAGGCTTTGGGGGATCTTTTTTACACTTCCAGAAGAACAAATAACTCTGCCACACGTCCATAATTGTGTCCCCTGAAGTCTGGTAGCAGCTGTAGTGTCGATGGCTCAGCTTCCTCCTGGGATCCGTTTCATCACTTCATTCTCACGAGATCAGTGGTAAGTTTGGAAGTGGTGGTGGTGATCCTTGCAGTGGACAGTGTGAATCTGTAACTGTTGCCTTGCTCAGAATTTTTGCTTTTTCATTGCTTAATGCATAGAGGAAGAGCAGACAGTCAGTTGTATGATAAATAAATATTGCTGACATTTATAAAATGAGATAATTTGCTGGGAAATCCAGGCAAACCCTTACTAGTCAGGCATTCTAGAAAATAAAGCCTTTTGTCCTTTTCTGTGCAAGGTATGTATTTGAAAGAATAAATTGCATTTTCAAGATCCTAGGTGGGAAGAGTGCCCAAGATTAGCTTCCTTTTCTTTGCCAGAGTGTATTTTCTCCCCAGTAATATGATGTGTGATACAGACTTGTAGAATTACAGTTTTAGTTCTCACTACTGCATTATTAAAAAGAACATAAAAAACAGCAAAAAAACCCTAGCAAAACCTAACAAAAATTAAATCCTCCTTGCATTAGGAAAAGTAATCCTGGAAGTTTTATGGCATCAGTTCATGTGGTTCCCAAGACAGAATACTGAGTCAATTGTGTGTGAATAACAAAAAAAAAAAAACAAAACAAAACAAAAAAACCAAAAAAATACCCCACCACAAATGGAAGATGGAGCACTTTCCATCTGAGCCATTTTATGACATTTTCACTAGTTGGGCAGCAGGAACAAATTGCAGTTTCATCCCTTGTGAGGATCTTTTCAGTCATGAGGGTGAATAACTCTTCTCGGGGAATGACTTTCTTTCCTGTGAATATGCCAGAATTATAAAACGGAACCCTGGTTATGTAAAAGTTCATAGGGCAAAAGATTATTGGAAAAGGTTAATTAAAAATCAGGGACTGTATTAGGCAGTGTGATATCAGATATTTATGTATACATATGTACTTACATTTACAGATGTTAATTTTAAGATTAAGGCTAGAAGGAGCCAGGAGACACACTTTAGGTACTTCTAAAAACACAAATCCACAAAATGCTCTCCTTAAACAACTGAAACCACAGATAGGGACTAGAATAGATCAGATTATTATCTTTGTTTAATGCTTGCACTGACAGTGAAATTAAGATGCCTTTTTAATTCAGCTGAACTGTAGAGAAAGACCCAAGGATCCCAGTGAGGCACAAAGGAGAATTCCTTCCCAATCCCAAAGCTGCTCAATTCTGTTCATGTGCTGCAGTGTCAGTCCCATTGTCCCTCTCTGGAAATGACTGATTTCTGTTGTTAGAGGAAGGCAAAAGTAAAATCCTGAAAGCAGCAAGAAAAGAAGGAATTCTCCAAACTGATAATTAAGAGAGCCAACACTTATGTCCCAGCAATACCACCCAACCCAGCAAGACAGGGAGGTGTGGAATCTGACTCTGTGTGTTGAGCTGATGTTTAATAATTTTGAGCTGACATTTAATATCCCCCAGAGGAGGGTTGCACACCAGGCAGGTCAGCTCTGTGTGCTCAGGGCACTGCCACGTTGTCCTGCCTTTTCCCATGTACCACCAGGCTCCTCCCAAGGCCACATCAGAGCAGATGGGAAGCAGCATAACTGGAAGGGTGGGTCTTCAGGCTGCTGGAGAACTCAAAAAGTTTGTCTTCCACTATTCCAATATTATCAATGACTTGTGTAATGGTTTTGTGTGACTTCGTGCTAAAAGAAAATCTAAATAAAATTATTTACAATTTTTTTTTTCTTTTCTGTCATAGGTATAGAGCTTTCATTTTCTCTCTCACTTTCCTGCTGTATGCCAGCTTCCATCTATCAAGGAAGCCTATCAGTATAGTGAAGGTAAGAGAGGTGGTGTCCTTGTTTAAACATCCTCCTGCTCCTGTCAGACACGGATGTTGTTGTCTTTTTCAGTATTTCCTGTTGTGAAAGACAGGGTTAACCTTTAACTTGAAATGCCTTCAAGATGAGAGACTGATAAAGCTGGCTCACAGTGATATTTGCTTGATAAACTTTAGTGAGACCACACCTAGAATATTGCCTGTAAGTCTGGGGTTTGGGCTGGAAGCAGCTGTGTCTACAGATAATTAATGTGAATGAATCTAATTAGAGATATTTGAGAGGTTTGCATTCTTATGGTTGAGAAAAGTTGCTCTTAACTGATGAGTTAACATTCCAGTGGCATTTACAAGAGTGTTCCCAGTACTGCTCAGCATCATCGTCATCATTTTCTGTACCCTTGTGGCTGTCCCCAGTGAAGCTGATGACACAGATTCTCCAGTTCTGGGTTTGTAACTTTAATCTTCAGTGTTTATAACTTGCCAAACACAAACCAAATCCCCCAGTGCTGCATTGCATAAAACTGAGTAGTAACAGTGGGCAAAGTACTTGATGTTACTTGTTACATTAAGTATTTGCCCACTGTTACTGCTCAAGTTCAAAGATTTTCACTGTCAGAAACACCAGTTCACTGTAGAATGTTTTTTCTAACCATGTAATGGTGGCTTCACCCAGTAAAATACCAAGCAATTAATAAGGGCCAGCAATTTTACTGATTTTGGTAGGTTTGACACAGGTACATATAAATCCAGAATTGTTAAATTTCTTGCTGTAGGAGAGTTATCAGTCCCCAGCTTGCAAGTGAATTTTCCATTTTCAAATGTCCTTTCTGTTTCAGGGAGAGCTGCATAAGCATTGTGCAAGTCAAGTTGAACTTGACTCCTACAAAGAATATGCTGCCCAGATCCAGCCTGTCAAAAAGCCATTTAATGCCTCTCAGTGTGGATGGGAGCCATTTGGTAAAGCTTGGCTTTCTTTGGCTTTGCATCTTTCTTTCCTAGTAATGATCTGATACTCATAATTCGATTATTAATTATTATATTCATAATTAACAATTTCTTCACATGTGAGGGATGTGCATGGAAGGGGTGTTTTGTTTTCCATGTCCTCATTGATTTCTCCACAGAAAGTGAAGTTGTGACTTGCCTTACAATTTTTTGCTACTTAAAGTCACTTAAACAAGTGATATTATTTTACTTGTTATATCTAAGAGATGGTTTCAGTAGATCCGTTTTCACTCAGAAAATGGGTTTTGTCTTTAGCCTGCATGCTTAGGAAAAAAGGGTATTTTATTCTTCCCAGAAGAATAAAATCAATTATTATAATTTTCTGCTTGTTTAATTCAATCAATCTTTTAAGTGAAATTACTTGGTGCTTATCTAAATTAGAACTTTGCAGAGTCCTTATCTGCCTGAAGGAATATATTTCTCAATTTTAATAAAGAAAAAGGGGAGACTTCATTGCAGGAGAGACTTAACAACTTACTGGATAGTTTATGAACCTGGCCTTTCACTTGAATAGAAAAAAATATTTGCCTACTGGACAACTAAATTTCAATTTAATTGTACTTGACTTTAAATGAGACTTTGAATCATTCCTTGACACTTTTATTGCTACCAGAAACAGTGAAACAGATTAGCCCATTCTGTCAATGTGCCAGTCCACCCCAGTCTGTGTAGCCATACATTCTAATTAGTTTTTAATTAGCAATTAAAAAAAAAAAAAAAAAAAAAAAAGTCCTGCTCTCTTCAAAGATAATTAAAGATCTGAGCTCTGGGGTTTCTGGGTTTCTGTGGACAAAATCCAATATATGAAGTCCTGCTGCAGGGTCTACTGAAAACATTCAATCCCCCATGTGGGATGCATTTAAACCTGGAGAATGTTTCTTGTCCTTTGACCAAGGGGAGATTGAGTTTGGTTGTCTGAAATATTGATTGACTTTTTAATGGAGACTTCTCAGCCTAAATTTCCTCCTTTTTCCATGGCCTTTATTGCCAAGCTACCCCTTTGGAATGGCTCTTAGACTTGTTCTTTCAGGTATTTTTCTGGCAAAGCTGTGAGTTTTACCAGAAAAACACTGGAGAAAGGAATTTGCTTTAATATCTGTGACTTCTTGCTCAAAGCCAATAGCAGTTGTGGCAATTTATTGCAAAATAAATGCACAAGCTGCCTGGGTATGAGCTCAAGTCTCTTGAGAGCTGACTTGGTGTTTCCATCAGGGTGGAGCCCCTTTGCTCCCTGTCCTGTCTGCAGTTCCCATTTAGGTGTGATTATGGTTGTTTGCTCTGCAGGGCAGAACTGCAGGGTTTTTTTAAACAGAGCTCTGTGCTTTGTGAATAGTTGGAAAATGAGATGCAAAAGGCTTAAAAAAAAAAAACTTAATATTTTAAATATTTAAATAACTTAATATTTTTTAAAATATATAAAGCTTATTGTTTAAAAGTCTCTATGATGGTGGATTTTTTTTTAGACATTTTGACAATTAAGACCTCATGCTTTTGCAACTCATCTTACCACTTCTAATCAAGCCTGTTAAATTGGATTTTGAATTTTCTTTTGCCTAAGGCCTTTTAAGAAAAGGGCACCTTGCTAATAACTGATGTTTCTTCTCTTCCAAAATGCTGTTTTAAATAAGGTACAGTTTAGGATGGACCTACCAATATTTTCCTAATATGTTGGAGGCCAAAGGGTATATTTTTTTTGTTAAATAAAACATTGGCAGAATGTTTGCTGAAGTCGAAATATGCCTATTGAAAATTGAATGTCAGTGCACATTCAGTAACTTTTTTCTTGTTATATGTAAAAATGGTTAGGAAGTAATTAGTACATTTAAAGTGATGATTTGTTTTGAAAATTTTTTAGATAAGAGCAACTACAAACAGCTGCTGGGAGCACTGGATTACTCATTTTTGTGTGCATATGCAGTTGGGATGTATTTAAGGTAAAACCCCACTCTCTTTGATGTTTAATTATGGTTGTTTGACTTTTGTGATACTGTGCTTTCCTGCTGCAGAGGTTCTGATGGAGAGTGAGAAGTTGATTGCTGAGGGCAAAAAACCCAGCATGATTCTGAGCCCCAGTGGTATCAATCTCTGATACACTGAAAGATTTTTACCTGCACCAATCTTGACTGCCTCGTGCAGGAATATTTTCCAGGTTGAAGTCTAGCCTGTTTTTTTTTCATCTAGAATGTTAATGAATCAGTCAATGAATCTCCAGTCAGTCTCTAAATTGCACTGATTGGGTTAAAATGATTGTCCTGGCTTTTTTGGTCAAAGAATGGGAGCAGACAACTCCTAAAAATAATACCAAATCCATCCTGAAGTGTGCAGTCTTAGCTGCTGTTTGGAGATGCTTTTTTTTATTGACTAAGCCAGAACCTTCATGACTCGAGTTGTTAGCAAGGGAGACAAGTCTCACTTTCAATGGCTGGAGACACATAATTTGGAAAATGACTCTGTAAGTAAGTGACTTTGAATGTGCTCCAGATGAGTATCTTCCTGAAAGATGCTTGTGCAGATGTCAGAACTTAGCAATTAATGAACTTGAAGTGTTTTGTTATGTTTTTTTTTCCCTCTATCAAGTGCTAAAAATGGCTGTTTTGCTGCTGCTAAGGCAAGCAGAAGTTACCAGCGGAGGTTCTCCTCAACCAGAGTTAAACAACACAAAATATCCTTTATTTGTGAGGGCTTTTGGGGTGTGATCTCATTTTTAATGATGGCTTTTCTCTCTGTTTCCTCCCCTGTTCCAAGTGGACTCATCGGAGAGCGGCTGCCCATCCGCTACTATCTGACAGGGGGCATGCTCGCCAGTGGACTCTTCACTGCAATGTTTGGATTGGGTTATTTCTATAATGTGCATAATCTGTGGTTTTACATCATGGCCCAGGTAGGCACAGTGTTCATTTGGACACTCAGAGTTCCTCCCATGCTGCTCTTTAGGGTAATACTGGGGGTTTTTCACTTGCACTCAGTGATGAGTTGTTGGGTGGGAGGATGTAAATGCTGGGATATCTTGTTGATGACAGGCAGAAGTGACAGAGTGGGTACCCCCAGGCTTCATTTTTGAAAAATGGTGGTTTTTTTTTTTTTTTAGTGAAAGAAATCTTTGAAAGCAAATTAATATGTTTCAATCTGTGTCAAATCAGCAATCAGATCTTTGCAAGCTTAAATGCGGGTGAGTTTTGAAACAAGCGGTGTTTACTTCTGTCACTCTGCCAAGACCTGAGTGACACATCCTGGCTTTCTCTGCAGGAAAATTCCATTTACACTGCTAATAATGAGCAGTCTCCCACACTGGTGTGGCTGGGAACAGGCAGCTTATGTAATGAGGTTCACTGGGGGAGATTTTTCAGAGCTCTGATCAGGTGTCATAAGAATTTTTACCATTGGCCAAAATGGAATTTAGGTCAGGAGCAGGGTAGGGTTGGCACTGGGGCCATTTTGTTCAGGTCTGCACCTTGCACTGCTGCTTTCTGTGTTGTTGCAGTAACACTCTCCCCTCTGGCACATCTGCATGGCAGTGAGCAAGGTGACATGGAGAGATACTAACCTGGCACAGCACTGATTAATTGTCACCAATTAATCTCTGGAATCAGGGGTTTTCCAGGACAGGAAAGCCTCCCCCAAGGGTGAAAAAGCCCCGCCCCGGGGGAAGGGGGCAAGGAACCCCAAAAACCCAAGGGGGGGGGGGGGGATCTCGCACCACCAGCCCCATTGGTTTTTGTTGGGTTGAGTGAGGTTGGTTTTTGTTGCATGTTCAAATGCTCATTGTGCATGTGAGGTTTTGTATTGTGATGTTTGTGTTATGGTGCAATTGTAGACAGGGAGCTGTTCAGGAGTTGAGATGAGTTAATGTTCTGTGCAATGTGGAGACTCAAATAGTTCTTACTTCATCCTGACTATATTAAATTAAATTCCTCCTCTCAGTTTATTTACAGATGTCTGTTAAGCATTTTAAAGTTATCCAGTCTCCCCTAAAGTTGTCTTTTTTTCTGCTTTATTTGATTGCAAACATGCTTTGCCATATGCTCAAGTTGAGATAAGTGTTATGCTGCTGCTTGAGTGTGGGGAATTCACTTGTCTTTTCAGCTCAGAGCAGTGTGATTTTTGGTGAATATGTGACTGAATTACAGTATTCTGTGATTTAAATCATAAACTAATTATAAAGATGTAGGTAGAGAGAAGAATCTCTGCAAAAATTTTGTAACTTGTTTATTCTTGAGGGGAAAAGAAATGCTTTCAAAACCCCACTAAATTTCTAAATTCATTGCATTTGTATAGACTTCCTTTTCTCAATGCAGCACTCAGCAGGAATTGTGTAGGAACCTGGTTTATGACAGGAAAACTTAATTTATTGTTTTTTAATATACTTTCAGATAGCCAATGGGCTGGTGCAGACCACTGGCTGGCCGAGTGTCGTTACGTGTATTGGCAACTGGTTTGGAAAAGGAAGGTAAATACATAATCCAAAGGTTTGGAAGTACAGATCAATTAATTCTGAGCTGTGATATTATAATCTGTTTAAATATCTTTCTTAGGCTTCTATGGTATTTTGTTTGGTTATTTTTTAATGAAGCAAAGCAGTTAGAATTTTGAGAGAAGCTTCCTTAGTTATGCTGCTAAATTTATATATAGGTTTGAAACTGTCTCCCTCATGTCAAAACACTGTTCTGTGATAGCTCTTTTTCAGATTAATTATTTCAGAATTGTATTAGAATAATTATTGTAAATGTAAACAGTCTAAAACTACTCTTAGTAAAGGCTGTTATTATGCCATTTTAATGTGAAATTTCCTGTGTTTTCATTTGTGTTTCAAAACAGTTGCCAGGGCATAACTGTAAAAAATACCTTTGTGTAATGTCTTTTTTTTCTAACACACTTACATAAACTTGAAAACTTATTTTAGAAGACAAAATATATATGACAACTGATTTAACCTATTTTTTATCACCTTCTTTAAATCATCTGCTTGGCTTGTTTTTTGGTTTTGTTTTTGGTTTTTTTTTTATCTTAATCCTGCACAGTGACTACTCATGATCTTTATTTTGTCACACCATAAAGTAATTTTCCATAAATTTTGCAAGAGTTACATGCCAAACCCACTGTCTGTGGTAACGATTGATGCATGTAGCATATAATAATGCTACTGTGATACCATCCATTGTATATGTAGACTATTATTGTTAAATCCAGAGAAGGATGTACTGAAATTCAGTGTTTGATTTTTATAGAAACCACAGGATAGTTAAAAAGATGTATCCTCAAACTAATTTTCCATTAGGAAATGCAGAGAATGGTAGCTGTCATTTAATATTGAACAAGACTGGGGAGTCTGTGCAAAATAAATACATTTATTCAGGCTTTGCTTTGTGCAAAAGCAACATCCTTTACTTTTAGGATGCCACACAGTGGGCTGGTGAGTAGGGCTCTGGTTTAAATGTCAGTGACCTGGTCCTTGTTTGCATTCTGCTCTAATTCCACGAAGCATGAGCAGAACTCGTAGATTTTGTCTTCAGGCCATGGAAAAGATTTGGGTTTGTTCAAGTTAGGCTGCTCCAGGTAAAATCCTGCTGAGGGCAAAGCAGTTTTCCCATTACTTAAAAGGGGAAAAAAATTATCCCTGCTGTCATGACTTCAGTGGGATTTTTGTGCTTTACCTCAGAGGGAGCTGATGTGCAGCAGCTCTAGTGTGGGATTTCCACACTAGTGTGGGAACCTGATGTGTGTTTTAGCCAAGCTGGTGCAGGTGTCATCTTCTAGTCCAGAATGGGATCAGAAAATACTGAATTTGCTCCACATATCCTCTATATCCTCTACAGTTTATTTTCTTCTGCATGAAGAGTCTGACATGTGCTGCAAGCATGAGATTATCGGTGCAATGTGTTTGCAGGAGGATTTTTATTCCCAAAAGCATCAGACTTGGTGTCCACATGCTACACAACATCAGCATATTTGTTTTAAACAAAGAAACTGTCCAGAAATATGCAAGCCCTGGTGGTGTTTTTAAATGCCAGTAAGTGCAGGATAAATTCTGTCATGCACAGAGTATTTACAACAGTTTTATTAATATTTAGGTGCCTTGAAATTGCCAGGTAGAGATAGTAGCATAAATAAATGATCAGTTAAAGAACCATATGATACATTTCACTGACACCACAGCTGCAGGACCATTTTGATACACTTTTCTCAAGAGATTAACTCTGAAGATGAATATTTGTGGGTTTGTGTGGTTTTTTTGTTTGTTTTTAATGCAGGAGAGGTTTGATCATGGGAGTCTGGAATTCACACACTTCAGTGGGGAACATCTTGGGATCCTTGATTGCTGCTTACTGGGTGTCCACGTGCTGGGGTCTCTCCTTTGTGGTGCCTGGGGTCATCGTGGCTGTCATGGGGGTTGTTTGTTTCCTGCTCCTTATTGAACGTGAGTGCTTCAGCCATGGAGGGCTCCTACTCCTCAAGCTGTGCCCGTGCTTAGAGAGCTTCTTCCCAGAACATTGGTAGAAAAAGTCATTCATTTTTTCTCTGCTGAGCTGCTGATTGAAAATGTAGATGACTTGTCTCTAGATGATGGATTTTCTTCCCTGTGGATTCTTGTAAATCCCATTTTTGACAAGAACCAGATTTTCTGTAAGATAAAACTTAAAAATCTGTTCTGTCAGACCCTGGAGGCTCAAGTGTTGTTGGTTTATTTTGAGGAATGCATGTCCAAAACTGCTTGTGCCTCAGCTCTGTACTGAGCTGCAGAATTACCACAGTTAATCCTCACAAGTGTATTTTCTTCTTAGAAGGAATTGATTGATGAATTGCAATTTGTGTAAAAAATACTGAAATACATATTTTTGATTTTTGGGGGGTGGGAGGAAGAATTACTTAGTGATTGATTGGTAGAGAAGAGCCTTCAAAGAGCTTATCCAGTTAGAATCATTGAGGTTGGAAAAGCCCTCCAAGGTCATCAGGTCCAGCTTTGACTGCTCCCCACCTTGTCACCAGCCCAGAGCACTGAGTGCCATGTTCAGGCTTTCCTTGGACACCACCATGGGGGCTCCAAACCTTCCTGGGCATTATTTAAGAAACCTTTCAGTGAAGAATTTCCTGCTGCTATCCCAGCTGAACCTGCCCTGGCCCAGCCTGAGGCTGTTCCCTCTCCTCCTGTCCCCATTCCCTGGAGCAGAGCCCGACCCCCCGGCTGTCCCCTCCTGGCAGGGAATTACAGACAGCAATAAAACACCCCTGAGCCCCCTTTTCTCCAGGCTGAGCCCCCTCAGCTGTTCCTGCTCTGGTCCCCTGACACAGTGACACTCCAGAATTCAGCCCCTGTCCTGTCAGCAGCCCCTGTGCTGGGAAATGCTTTCAGTGTGACCTTCAGAGCCAGAAGGTCCCAGGTGGCTGCAGGACACCTCCTGTGCTGCCATTCCCCCACCCCATCCTCCTCTGGGCCATCAGCTGAGGGAGCAGCTTTTGACACTTTAAATTAGAAATTGAAGAGGAATGCCCCATCCCGTCCCTGTGCAGACTCAGAGATGTGAATGCTTGTTTTACTGTAACTGTCCTGTCTCTGGAGGTTAATTTTGGCAGATACAACAAGAATTCTGAACTAGCTGGACAGCCAGAGTAGCACTTCTTATCTCTACTGTCAGTTTATTGTCAGTAAGTGACACTATTTAAAAGTGTTTAAAGAGATTTCTTAGGCTTGTTTTCACTCTTAGCTATGTGTGGTATTTTATTTCAGATCCTAAAGATGTCAGTTGCTCCTGCACACCGTCCAGTGTAAGTAAATATGTTTTCTTTTTTGGTTTTTGCCTCCTAATAGGCATGTTTATTAAGATGGTTCTGTGAATCAGATTATGTGTGTGGCTCTTTGTGCCAGCCTGTTTTAACTGTGCTTGAGGCAATGATTGGTCTTCTGTGCTTCACTGGTAAACCACCAGGAGCTTATTTGCTCTCTAAATTAATCAAGAAGTGAATTAATTTGTTTTGGAACACTTGATCCTACAGTAAATCAAGTAAAAACTGTTCATCTTTTGGTTTTTTTTTGTTTTGTTTTTTTGGGTTTTTTGGGGTTTTTTTTTGGTTTTTTTGTGGTTTTTTTTTTGTTTGTTTGTTTGTTTTTTTGTGCTCAGAATTAAATATTTTAGAAAGTGGTGTCAGTGGTGGAAAGATTTCCCTAGGAAATCCCGAGTTACTGTGTGAGATGATTCCTTTTCTGCCTTGTAAAGCTGTGAACCCTAGAAGAGGAAGGCAATCCAAATAGAATTGGAGAAAAGTAAAAAGCAGGGAAAGGCAATGAGGAGAGCATTAGGAAGACCAGCTGTGTGTAACTTCTCATGACAGAATTGTCATTCCTGGCCCAGTTCTGTTCAGGATTGTGCTCACAGGATCTTGTTTCATGCTCCCTGAGACTCTGCTCTCTGTTTGTCTCTACTGCAGCCAAAATCTGGAGCAGTTCTTGCTCCGGGCTCCGAGGAACCCTTGGGCAATCATGTCTGCCACATTTCCAAGTATTTTTTTGGAATAGTAGAGGGGATTGGCAGAGCAGGCCATGAGGTTTCCCATGTCTGAGGACAAATCAGGGTTGTTGGTCAAAGTCCCAAGGGAATCCCACATGGAAATTGTCTGTACGTGTGGATTCAGGTGAACTGTGCATTTTCTTTTCCGGTCTCACAGGTAGATTGTACAGGGTTGATTGCTCTATTTTTACCACCTAATGTTTTTAAATCAATGGTATTTTACATTTTAAATGCTCTTGAACAGGAGCTGAAGGCAACTTTTCTAGTTTGTGTTCTCTTTTCTTTTCCAGTTAATGTTTTTTTATCTTCATATGAAGCACTTCTGATAAAGCTTCTGAATGCTTTTGATGGTTTGTGGAACTCCTGTTCTTGTTCTATTTCTGTGAGCAAGGTGGGCTCACACTATGCTCTGTATTTTGCTTTTTTGTTTTCTCTTTCATTTCTTACAAGTAACTTCTGTCAAATACGAGAGTATTTTAAGTGACTCTCATTGCCTGCTGTTAAAGAGTCCCATTTTACTTAGCTTTTATGTAGTTCAGAGCATTGTTTTTACAGAATATCCAGCTAAGATTTATAGAAATAAATATTTGTTTCAACTACACTTAAAGAGCTCTGACATATGTTGCCCATATGTCTCAGTGAGCTAGTGTGGAAAATTCTGACTTGGAATATCTACTTATCATGATACTTTTAACAAAAAAAATTAGTATTTTAGGAGCAAATTTCCCCAGTTGCAGAAAAGGAGGAGCATTTGACTCAGTCTTCACTAGAGCAGCAGCAGCAGCAGGGTCACTGCCCCAGGCTCACTCTCACTGTGTGAGCTGCATTTGACCTCCTGTTCCCCTGGAAACCTTGCTCTGCAGAACAAAAGGCATCATTTCTTCCTTCCCTATTCCCATTTCACATCTGGACATCTGGGAGGAGTTTATCACAGGGCTTCCCCACTTGCCTTGGAACCTTCTCAGATTGAGGTTTGCCTTGTCCTGGGGAGCTTTATGTCGTTGGAGCTGCCCAAATACTTCACTCCTGAATGGTCTACAAGGATTCTAAACCCTTGTGGAAGGGGCTCACACCTTCTGTTCACCACAGACAGGTGGCCTTAGAAATTAAGGAAATTAATTAGGTAGGAGTTCAAGATGTCCAGATGTAGATGTGGTGATGACAGCTTCTGACTGTAAAGAAAAGTGAATGCTAATTGAAGGGAGGTTGATGTAGTAAAATAGAGAAAAAAAATTGATCTGTGTTGTACAAGGTATAGAACTTGTCAGCTGTAAAATACTTGCTGTCCTTTTTTTTTTTTTTTTTTTTTCCTTCAATCATTCTGGTAACAACCTGCACAACTTTATGTGCTTTTGCAAATAATTAGAATTTTTTTTTTTTTTTGATGCATTAAACATGCACACTTGCTTTTATCATAGGGCTGTGGCAGGAAATTTTGGCCAAATGTCCTGGGCAGGTGCAGGCAGCTCTGCTGGCTGGTGCTAAAAACTAAATCTCCTTGTGGAAGAATGAGGCCAGTTAAATTTAAGCAGCACTAAAATAAATGCTCAGCACGAGGGAAGGACTTAGGGTTTCTATTAAGATTGAGAGATCACAGTCCTCTCTGTGTGATGTCAGCCTTGGATGAATTTGGTCTCGTGTTTATTTGCAGCATGGTGGTGAGGCCAATATTTCCACAGAGTTTGTAGTGGTGAGTAATCTGATTTCATTGAGCTGTCCAAAACCACAGATGGAGAGTCAGGCACAGAGCCTTGAGCGTGTGGTTCTTTCTCTTTATTCTCTGGTTTCCTGGGCTTTGCTTCATTTGCCTCGATTCACCTTGGCTCTGATTTACCCATCTGAAATTTGTTTCCAAATAAATACTTGAGGACAATAAAGTGCTTCTAAATGCTGGCACTGGAGGCTTAATCTTGACTCTCTGAAGGGCTGTACCTATGACAAATACAAGTAAGAAGTCAGTGGGTGTTCTTCAAAATTGCTGCACTTCCTTTATGAAAGTTGAAGAGGAGATTTAACTTTTTTTTTCCCCTTTTGGGAAATGTGATTTAGAGTGGGTTTTATTGCTTCTCATCTTTCCTCCCTGTGCCTTTTTTTTCTCCCATAGTTACATCATGTTCATACAAACCTGTCTTTGTACTCTAATAACTTCCTTTGTCTCCACTTTGCATTCCCAGAAAACTTCCCTCCCTTGAACTACTGTTGCAAAGTGCTTGTGCATTTAAAAATTACCTGGCTGCAGTTTTTATCTCCTGAAAAAGAGGAAGAAGCCTAAGTATTAAATGTGCAGCCTCTCAGTCTAGTCCTTTTCCCTAGACATTTTCTCCTTACCATAGTAAATTTTAATTTTTGACGGTCAAATGAAAAAGTCATTCATTTTTTCTCTGCTGAGCTACTGATTAAAAATGTAGATGACTTGTCTCTAGGTGATGGATTTTCTTCCCTGTGGATTCTTGTAAATCCCATTTTTGACAAGAGCCAGATTTTCTGTAAGGTAAAACTTAAAAATCTGTTCTATCAGACCCTGGAGGCTCAAGTGTTGTTGGTTTATTTTGAGGAATGCATGTCCAAAACTGCTTGTGCCTCAGCTCTGTACTGAGCTGCAGAATTACCACAGTTAATCCTCACAAGTGTATTTTCTTCTTAGAAGGAATTGATTGATGAATTGCAATTTGTGTAAAAAATACTGAAATACATATTTTTTTTTTGGGGGGGGGGGAGGAAGAATTACTTAGTCATTGATTTTTGATCTGGATTGTTCAGTGAGGATTTACATTCTTTTTTTATTTGTGGTGGTTGAGGAATGGGTTATTTGGGGCAGATTGTAGGGGTTTTATTGTTCTATCTTGTTTTTTGTCTTTTTTTTTTTTTTTCAATGTGGTGTGCAATGTGTGATTAGACACTTCAACATCTCATCCCTGAGGAATACACAGTGATTCTTCTGGATTTAGCAATAGGTTGTCCATACCTGACTGCAAACCTACTTTAGAGTTGTATATATTTAATTCAGCAGACAAACCTGAATGTCCCTGGTAAATCTTTCTAGACTAAAGATCTCAGAATGGCGTTTTCCAGTGAATGCAGTGAATTCCAATGGTGTTTTCCGGTGAATTTTGGTGTGAACTGACAAAGGAATGTACTTGTTAATAAATAAGGATAAAAAGCAAGTCCATCTGGTATCTAAAGTGTAGCTTTTTGTCTCATTTTTTTCTTCTGGAACTTGGTGGACTCCTTATCAATACTCCTGTCCACAAGAACTCAGTGCATTAATGGGCTAAAAGAATACAGTGTTATAGAATATAAGCTAAAGGGATGAACTTTTCTCTTAAAGGGATTAGGAAAGTGAAAAATCAATGTTTTCATGAAACAAACCAACTTCTGTAGTTGTTGCTTAAAAGCAAAAACTGAGTTTGCAATGTCAGTAAGTTGAGTAGAGGAAAAAGCAGCTAAAGATGTTGAGAAGGGCATGACTGTGCTCTGAATTGAGCTTCTTCTGTCTAAAACCAGTGTGAAATAAGCCTTCAGATCAATTTGTGAGTGCATTTTATGTCCATTGCCATAGGTCTGTGTAAGCACTTGAAAAACTCAAACCACACGGTCATCAAACTAAAGATGCTGCAGTTGGAGTCATGTTTATGTTACAATGCACAAAAACTTGTTCCAGAGAGATGATTGACAATAACGTGATCCTTAAAAAAAAAAAAAAAGGCAAAAATATGAAATGTGGCATTTGTTTTCTTTTTTTAGAGTTCTAAAACCTTCCTGAATGGTGCCTCTCGGTGCAGAATCCAGATGCCAACCTTAAATGCTAAGGAAAATGGCAAACCTCAGGTAAAATATAAAATACTGCTCAAAAATAGCATGGAAGACTTCTTAAGGCTCACATGAAACATCTGCAGTTTGTAAAGATGATTCCTCTTTTTATGATGCTGAAATCTGCTTCCATCTTCACACACAAATGTAACTTCAGAGGAGGGAACTAAGCCTTAACTGCCATAAATAATGCAAACTAAGCTGTGTGAGATGGCAGTGCTAGCTCAATTTTGTGGGTATTTTGTGATCTTGACACCATTCCATCAAAAATAATGCACTGCAAAATACTTTAAAGGCAGCCCACTTGAAATATTTAAATTATGTATATTGTGACCCGTCCTTACAGTCTCACTTCTCTCCCATTTCCTTTCAAAAGCTGTCTGTACTTAACAAGATTATACGTGGAGATGGAGATTTCTAAATATACACAATGATTCACAAAAATCTTGCTTAAAACTCATAACCATAAGGGCTGCTATTTCTCACTAGAAAATGAATTCTGGACTTGCCCATTTTGTTGGCAAAATACCATTTTGTCTTGTGATGGACATGAACTGAAAATTCCCATTTGAAATTTCGTGTTTGCACTCAGTACACTTGGCACATTGCATCCTGAGAGGATAACTTTTTTTTTTAACTCCTTTCAGACTTTTCCAGGAAAATAGAAACTTCCTGTTCTCTTTATCCTTTGCCTGGTGAATAATAATGAGCATTCACAGGGTGGAATAATCAGTGTTGGTCAAAAAGTTTTGAAATTTTTGTTAAGGAAGCATTTCAATACACCTTAAACCCCCTCTGTACTGAGTTTATTATTTTAGTTTAGAGATGCCAAACAACAATCTCCAGCCCAGAAACCATTTGTCAGTGCTATTTCACAGCCAGTTGGAAAGTAAGAGGAGATGTAAAAATATCAGCAGGTGTTTTTAGACAGGATGGATTTT